AACCTGGCAGCATTCAAATGCCCCAAGGCCAAAATAAACGAATATGATTACCTCAAAGCACTTGAAAATCGCGGTTTTTAGTTAAAAATCACACGGCATAAAACTAATTTTTCCAGATAATTTTCCGAGGCGTACAACGAAATATTCAGAGGCTCAAAACCACAATTCCAAACAACGTCAATTCTAAAACATCGACATCTCAAGAACATTCTCAACAAATTCAGGAGACCCGAAAAGTCGAACCTTAAGCACAATGATATTCTCCAATTTTTCTAATGAATTTAAGGGAGATAAACGATGCTCACAAATGACTTCAACGCAATTATCCGGCCATTTAAAACTCTAAAAAAAAAAGATCACCAATTTTAGAGGTTATACTACGTCCTATTCGAGAATCCAACATCAACTCATCAAATATCAATTAACATGCTTTCATTCTCAAGTTCAATAAAAATCTCTACCTCATGAACCTTAGCCCTATGATAAATCCTTCGCAAATCATCTCTAAATATTAAAAGGAGGTTAAGCCGTATACCTCCTTCGGGGAATTAATCGAGACGGCTGAAGGAGTTCGGATAAAGGGTCTCGGCCCCGCTGCTAGCATTCACACGCGGCTCCAGTTCACGGCTCTCGCTTGGCTCTCGAGTATGACTTCTGCTGCGCTAATCCCGGCTGCTGCTCATGGAAAATCGCACGGTAATGGATTTCCCAACAGTTGCTGCTCGATGGGACAAAATCGGGTGACTGAGGAGGATTGACGGACTCCGGGGGACTGCTGCGAATAGGAGGAACCGGCGTGGCTCGTCGGTGGAAGGTCACCGGCGAAGTACTTCTCTCCACGAAAAGGGCTGACGAACGATCGGGGCCTGCTACTGGCTGGTTAGGATGTCTGCTCAAAATTCATGCAACAATCAGTGCTAAGCGAAGGTCGCCGGTGAAGGGTTGCTGCTCGCAGCACGAGTCGGCTGACAAAGGCGCTGTTATGGTGAACCGTCGGCGAAGGATGACGGGTCGCTGGTTTGCTCAAATTTAAAAAAAAAAAAAAAAAT